AAAAAGTTGGGACAAGTCCATTTTTACCACTGTGTGGCATCCCCCCTTCTTCTTACAACACTCAACAGACGTCTGGGGACAGAGGAGACCAGTTTCTCAAGTTTAGAAATAGGAATGCTCTCCCATTCATGTCTAATACAGGCCTCTAACTGTTCAATCGTCTTGGGCCTTCTTTGTCACACCTTCCTCTTTATGATGCGCCAAGTGTTCTCTATAGGTGAAAGATCTGGACTGCAGGCTGGCCATTTCAGTACCCAGATCCTTCTCCTACGTAGCCATGATGTTGTGATTGCTGCAGAATGTGGTCTGGCATTATCGTGTTGAAAAATGCAGGGTCTTCCCTGAAAGAGATGACGTCTAGATGGGAGCATATGTTGTTCTAGAACCTGAACATAGTTCTCTGCATTAATGGTGCCTTTCCAGACATGCAAGCTGCCCATGCCACAAGCGCTCATGCAACCCCATACCATCAGTGATGCAGGCTTCTGAACGGAGCGTTGATAACAACTTGGGCTGTCCTTGTCCTCTCTGGTCCGGATGACATGGCGTCCCAGTGTTCCATAAAGAACTTCAAATCGTGACTCATCTGACCACAGAACAGTCTTCCATTTTGCCACACTCCATTTTAAATGACCCCTGGCCCAGTGCAAACGTCTGAGCTTGTGGAGCTTGCTTAGAAATGGCTTCCTCTTTGCACTGTAGAGTTTCAGCTGGCAACGGCGGATGGCACGGTGGATTGTGTTCACTGACAATGCTTTCTGGAAGTATTCCTGAGCCCATTCTGTTATTTCCTTGACAGTGGCATTCCTGTTTGAGGTGCAGTGACGTTTAAGGGCCCGGAGATCACGAGCATCCAGTAGAGTTTTACGGCCTTGACCCTTACGCACAGCGATTGTTCCAGATTCTCTGAATCTTTTGATGATGTTATGCACGGTTGATGATGATAACTTAAAAGTCTTTGCTATTTTACGCTGGGTAACACCATTCTGGTATTGTTGCACTATCTTTCTGTGCAACAATGGTAGAATTGGTGATCCTCTTACCATCTTGGCTTCTGAGAGACACTGACACTCTGAGAAGCTCTTTTTATACCCAATCATGTTGTCAATTGACCTAATTAGTGTTAATTGGTCTTCCAGCTGTTCGTTATATGCTCAATTTCCTTTTTCCAGCCACTTATTGCTACTTGTCCCAACTTTTTTGGGATTTGTTGACACTGTGAAATTTTGAATCAACATATTTTTCCTTTAAAATGTTACATTTACTCAGATTAAACTTTTGATCTGTCATCTGTGTTATATTACGAATAAAATATTGACATTTGCCATCTCCACATCATTGCATTCAGTTTTTATTCACAATTTGTTTAGTGTCCCAACTTCTTTGGAATCCGGTTTGTACATTCAGCAAAGTTAAGGATAAGCGAGTCTAAAGAGATGTGTTTTCAGAGCAGTCTTGAATATAGAAAGAGAGGTGGTGTTTCGTAAGTCAGGGGGTAGAGAGTTCCAGAGATGAGGGGCAGAGCAGGTGAAGGCCCTGCTCCCCATGGTGGAGAGGCGGGCAGAGGGTACATGGAGGTGTAGTGAAGAGGAGGATCTGAGAGAGCAAGAGGGGATGGAGATGTGTAGGAGGTCAGATAGGTACGGAGGGGAAAGGTTGTGGATAGCTTTGAAAGTGAGAAGAAGAATTTTGAAGACGATGCGTGATTTAACCGGGAGCCAGTGGAGCTGCTGCAGGACTGGAGTGATGTGGTTATAGGAGGAGGTTTGAGTGATGACACGGGCAGCTGAGTTCTGGACCAATTGCAGCTTCTGGAGAGATTTGTTGGGGAGGCCATAAAGAAGAAAGTAGCAGTAGTCAATCTGGGAAGTCACCAGACTGTGAACAAGGATGGCTGTGGAGCGGGGTGTGAGAGAAGGGTGGAGACGGTTAATATTTCTGAGAAGGAAATGGGCAGACCGAGTGACATTGTTGATGTGTGAAGTGAAGGAGAGAGTGGTGTCGAGGATGACACCAAGACTCTTGACCTGAGGCGAGGGGGATAGCAGGGAGTTGTTAAGGGGGATGAGAAGATGTTCAGATTTTGAAAGAGTGTTTTTGGTACCGACAAGAATTATTTCTGTTTTGTCACTGTTTAGTTGTAGGAAGTTGTTAGAAAACCAATGATTTAGCTCATTGAGACAGTCGGTGAGGATGGAGGAGTTTGGTTTTGTTGATAAGTAGAGCTGTGTGTCATCAGCATAACAGTAGAAATGGACACCAAATTTGCAGAAAATGTGACCTAGAGGAAGGAGGTAAATGATGAAGAGGAGGGGTCTGAGGACAGAGCCTTGGGGGACACCCGTGGAGACAGGGGAAGAGTGGGAACGAAAGGATTTAAGCTGAATGAATTGAGTGTGGTCAGAGAGATAAGATGCTACTACCCTCTCCTCATGGCTTTGTCCCTTCTTCTATCTAAAAAAATGTATTCTGTAAAGGACAAGAAGGCCACTCTATCACAGCAGCAGCGACGTGCACCTCCATCAACCTTTCTGACAACTGTACAGACATATTCTCATTGTATCTCAGTGCAATGATAATAAAGCTTATTCTGATTCTGATTCTGAATATTAAAGTCCCCATTGATTAAAACTTGATCATATCTCGGTGTGATTTCAGCCAATAAATCAGAGAATTCACTTATGAAGTCCTTGTATTTTGGAGGATGGTAAACCAGTGTGCACAGCATCGCGGGAGAATGTCGCAGTTCAAAAAACGTCAAAGCTGGAGCATGGTGTAGTTTGAACATGTCCAGAGGATGGACAGTGGTTTGGACATGTCCAGAGGATGGACAGTGATTTGGACAAGTTCATAGGAGAAACAGTTGTTTTGACATGTCCAGAGTAGGGACATTGGTTTATATGTCCACAGGAGGAACAGTTGTTTGGACATGTCCACAGGCAGGACAGTGGTTTGCACATGTCCACAAGAGGGATGGTTGTTTGGACATGTCCACAGGAGGGACAGTTGTTTGTACATGTTCAGAGAAGAGACAGTGATTTGGACATGTCCAGAGGAGGGACTGTTATTTGGACATGTCCAGTGGAGGGTCAGTATTTTGGACATGTCCAGACAAGGGTCAGTTGTTTGGACATGTCCAGAGGAGGGACAGCAGTTTGGACATGTCCAGATGAGGGTCAGTTGTTTAGATATGTCCAGAGGAGGGATGGTAATCTGGACATGTCCAGAGGAGGGACAGTAGTTTGGACATGTCCAGACAAGGGTCATTTGTTTGGATATGTCCAGAGGAGGGATGGTAATCTGGACATGTCCAAAGGAGGGACAGTGGTTTGGACATGTTCAGAGGAGGGACAGTAGTTTGGACATGTCCAGATGAGGGTCAGTTGTTTGGACATGTCCAGAGGAAGGACAGTGGTTTGGACATGTCCAGATGAGGGACAGTGGGTATATTTGTATAAGGATGTTAGAAATGTAGCTGCCAGGAAAAAGACTAAGAGGAGACATATGGATGCAGTTAGAGAAGACATGGAGGTAGTTGGAATGAGGACAGAGGATGCAGAAGACAGAGTGAGGACAGAGTGAGACGGAGGAGGATGACTCACTGTGGAGATGCCTGAAGATGGAAAAGCTGAAAGAAGAACCTGTTGGGGTGTGTTAATGCAGTTTGTACAGCAGGTGGAGCTCTAGAGTCACTTAGTACCTCTGATTTTGTCTCTCCGGTTTCGGCCAAACAGTCTGATGCTGACAGGAGACGAGTGCTGCTGGTTCAAATCTCTGGAGGTCGACCGAAAGATCCCACTGAAGCTCAACCTGAAAATACACACAGTTATTTATTTATTAACCTTTATTTAACAAAGCAAATCCCAATGAGATCACTGATCTCTTTTGCAAGGGAGGCCTGGGCCTGAAGGCAGCCTAACATACATGTTTTTGTACTGTGGGAGGAAACCAGAGTACCCAGAGAAAACCCACGCAAGCACGAGAAGAACATGCAAACTCCACACAGATAGACCCCAGGTCATACCGGGGATTGAACCTAGGACCTTCTTGCTATGAGGCAACAGTGCTAACCAGTGATCCATCATGCTGCCGATACACAAGCACACAAGGTTCCAGATACACAAACCCCCGTTCAGGTTTTCAGACCCTGTTGAGGATTTTATCCCAAATCTCCCAGGCCAGATAATCTGGCCCTCTTGGTTGTACGTGGGGTTCTGTACAGGTACCTGCGTGGGGGCTTGGGTGAGGGATCCTGCTGCGGGGTTTCGGTCTGGTAGGGGAAGTTGGTTTTAAGAGAGCTAGGACTCATCTTGGAGGTGCAGGTCCTGGCGGGAGCAGAGTGGGGACTGGCGGGTCGGTTGAACGGAGTCCGGTGGAAGAAACTCTTGGTGGGGCTGGTAGACCGGCACAGAGGCTCCCCCTGCAGGACAGGAGGACACTTTAACTCCTGCAGAGGACAGGGACAGCTGTCCTGGTTTAGGTTTCATTATGGTCCAGATTCAGGATTTGTCGGGATCCTGACTGATCCAGGATCCATCATGGGAATTGGCCAATCAGGATCCATCCTGCATGTGATCCAGTACCAATCAGGACCCATCCTGTCTCTGATCCAGGATGCATCATGGTCCTGATTCAGGATTTATCAGGATCCTGGACCAATCAGTGTCCATGATGGTCCTCACTGATCCAAGATCTATCATGATCCTGATTTAGGATCAATTGTGGTTTTGAACTAGGATCCATCCTGATTCTAAACTAGGATCCACCGTCGTCTGTGTTTTACCTTCTTGTGGCTGTCTCCGTCAGCTCGACCCAGGTCTCTGTCCAGGAAAGACATTGTGAAGACACTCAGATCCTGCAGAGACAGATGGGCGGAGACAGAAGGTCATCATGTAACACATCAGTTGTTCTCACCTTGATGTACTGTAACCATAGCAACACCAGACAGCTGATCCTGAACCAACAACAGAACCTCCCCGATACGGGTCTGACCTTGTTTCGTCTCAGTTCATAATCAGGTCCAGTTTGACCCAGTTTAATACCAACTCATCAGGGCTCTGTCCTCGGTCCATCAGGACTGTGTCTTCAGTATTTTAGGGGTGTGTGCTCAGTCCATCAGGGCTGTGTACTCAGTCCATCAGGACTGTGTCTTCGGTTCTTCAGGGCTGTGTACTCGGTCCTTCAGGGCTGTGTCTTCAGTCCTTCAGGGCTGTGTCTTCAGAAATTCAGGGCTGTGTTCTCGGTCTATCAGGTCTATATCTTCAGTCCTTCAGTGCTGTCTTCAGAGCTGTGTCCTCAGTCCGTCAGGGCTGTGTCTTCAGTCCATCAGGGCT